TGCCAAAAAAAAAAAAAAAAAAAGATATAATTGTGACAAATCATTCTCAAATGACAGAGGGTTGGGAAGCCCAGCTCACAAAACCATAAATTCCTTTTGTGGGCCTGGAGAATGCCTGTAATCCTAGCATTATGGGAGGCTGAGGCAGGAGGAACATAAATTTGAGCTCAGCCTAATCCATTAAACAGTTTAGCAAGCCCCTGCCTCAGAATAAAATATTTTAAAAATAACTATTTTTAAAGGTTCCTTCTCATGACTCTCCTGACTTGGAGACTCCAGCTCATCCCCAGCCTCACCCAGGATGCAGGATGTGGGTTATCTGCATCCCCTGTCAGCCCCCAGTTTGCCTAAACCTGCCTTCCTGAGTTTTCTGGGACTTGTATTCCCTTAGCCTTATGAGCTGCCACCTGGTGGCCAACGATGAAAACAACATCTCAGCCCACCATTGCCGAGAGCCAAATCTGGAGACCTTCTAGGAAGCTCTGAGGTTTGGGGTGCAAGGGTTTAGACGCCGACTAGAGCTCCAGGACCTCAGCACTTCTCTGACCAATTTCTCTGTACATCTTTCTGCCCTTCCACAGGAACTGACATTCACTCGTTCATTCAAGCACTGCTGTTCTAATTATAGATGGGGGCCTAAAACTACAACTGAATAGCTATGATTGAAGGTATAGAGAAAATAAATGTATGTTTAGTATATCTGACATGATGAGAGTAGATGGGACAGGACTCAGGACGGAGGCGACAGATGAGCAGAGATGGGGTTCACGGGAGGAGTAAGCTCTGCAGCTGTTTGGGGAAGTTTTCCACACAAGTATCCTCTATGTAATGTTAAATTTTTCATTTAATTTAATTTTTAATTGTAAACAGTTCATTTAAAAATCAGGACATTTGGACAACCTGGGCCGTGGGATCCTGGACAGACCCGGAGCGCAGGCGCAACGAGTGAGTGAGCCGACCTGGGGCTGTGGGATCCTGAACAGACCCAGAGCGCAGGCCCGGCGAGTGAGTGAGACCACCGAGGGCGGCGGGATCCTAAACAGACCCAAAACGCAGGTCCAGCACGGAACCCTTCAGCAGAACTCCCTGCAATGAGGCTAGAGGCAAGACCCACCCAGCTGATTCAGGAGCACAACATCTTGCCAGAGAGACACAAAGGGTTCAACTCTAATGGCTGCAGCAGAAAGAAGTGGAGCACAGCAGCCAGATCCAAACAACACCCACCTGGAGGAATCTGAACTTCATATATCCGGACCTGGTAATAACTGGTAATAACTGGTATTGCCTGGTAATAACCAGGCAATAACTCTATCTAAGCTCTACACCAAAGGTCAGAAGACAGGTATAAAAAATGACAAAGAGAATGAACAAAATGCAGTCTCAGGCCCCAAGTCCACCCAGTACAAATGCAGAAGAAACTAGCACTGAGGAAACTGGAAATCACACACCTGATATCTCTGAAATAATAGCGTTGACAGTAAAGAATCAACTGCAGAAAGGTATAGAAGAAATCAGATCAGGAATAATTTCGGTCAGACAGTCTCAAATTCAAACCAACAATGATCAAGTGAAATAAAGAAGGCCACTATATACTGGTTAGGGGAAAAATTCAACAGGAAGAAGTAAAACTCACAAATATGTATGCACCAAACATGGGAGCACCCAACTATATAAAGCAAATCTTAATGGACATGAAAAATCTAATATCCAATACCACAATTTTAACAGGAGACCTTAAC